ATCTTGAATCAGATGGAGGAATCACTCTGGTAAGACATGAATATGCTGTGAGAAAGCAGAGTAGGATGTGAACTGCATGGCCCCAGTATAGCAGTGGAGGTGCAATGGGTTGGGAGATATTGCACTGGGATGCTCTGGGCCCTCTTGGGTGGCTCAGAGTTGCCGGTGATGCCTTTTAATTCTACACGTTAGTCCAGAAGGTTCATCTTGGCTTATGTCTCACAAATCACATTCTCTTTATCCTGAGCACAGTCCTCCCTGAACAGAAATATCTGGAGTTACATTTCCTGTCACATTCCTATATCATGGCAGTTCATTTAATCATCTGACCAAGAAGGCTTTGTTTTTCCTTGTTACTAGCTATTCCTTTCTGTTCTGGGACAATGACGGTTAGACATCAACGCCTCTTGTTTCAAGAAGTTTCTGTTTTAACTAGCAGTTCTGTACGCTACACATACATCTACACCTACAAGTTTTTGCAAGAGGGGGACAAGGTTGTACAAATCTGGCTAGTTTCCTAACAAGTGAGAAAATACACAGTCAAGGCCACCCCACACAATAAAAGCAGATGCTTTCCTGGTACACCACGACCCACCCTGAAATTCCCCACTCCCCGCCTGGAGATGTGATGATGCATAGCAATTTCCTGGGATGTCACCTGCAACATTGAGACTTGGTAGCCATATCTAGAACTCTGGGAGAGAGAAATAGTGTGATATTGTAGAAGTGGAGTGTGAGTGAATGGTTTCCTTTTGTTTTAAGATTCGGAGTTAGTTAGCCTAAATCCCAATCACGGGAGACCCATTTAATCAATATTTTTTTCTCAAAATTTGACTTCATAAATTCTATTGATTCAAACTAATTGGGACTTGACATTCGATGTATGTCTTTGAGATAAATTTCCTAACCGTTCTCTCTGGTAGAAATGGCTGAGAAATTTATGCATCTCTGTCTGTGTATGCATACTGCATTTGCACTTGCACACATATGAGGCATTTATTTAGTCATCTTTTAAGTATTTTTTCCTTCCATCTTGTTTTTCTGCAAGGAAAAAAACAACAGCTGGTGATCTTGGAAATGTTACTGTTTTTCATATGCTCACTGAGGGATTCTGGGAGTTGTAGTCTTAAAAATATATGTTTTCCAAGCCCATTTGGTATGTCTTCCTGTTTTGTAAAATCATTTAATACAGTAATATAATATAGTAATTATACTATACTATAATATAGTAATTATTTAGTTAAATGTGTGGATCTGGAGATATGCAGTATTTAGTGCAAGCAACTCTGTAGAAAAGCTTTGGAAAAATTTGAATGCCAAAAAGGTCAATTGAGTTCTACTTTCATATAGGCAGAAGGTCCAGTGTATGCCATTGGGTTACATTGGCCGATTACAAGATGCAGTCATGTCTGGCATACCTATTTGTACTTGGAAGTGAGCCGGTAACATCGGGATCCTCCCCTTGCCTTCCACATAAACATCTTTTGGATGATCACTGGGTTATTTCAGAAAGCCATCACCATTTGGCGCATTTTAAAACATTTCCTTTCTGCTTAGTACAGCCCATTTTCTACTTCTGCCCAGTTCAGTTATCTGCACTATATAGAATGAATTTAATTCGGTTTGCCCTAGCCAAGAGGAAGTCTGCCTAATGCAAAATCAGGAAGGCTGTCCAGTCCTATTGTGAAGGATTTGTAAAGCTATTACACAGACAAGCTCTAGAAGAGATGATGGGTAGGTGATCTGTGAACAGGTATTTCCTTTTCCTCCAAAAGAAGCATACATCAATGTGACATTCAATGCATCTTCAAACCTGATCAGGAGGTGTTTGAATCATGCAGATTGTCTCAGTGGGGGAGTGCTCTCTGTCTCTCTGTTCATGAATGGAACCTGGACAGGTAGGGAGAGAGAATTTAACCCATTCCTTCCTCCCTTCCTGTAATGTTGGGGAAATTCTCTTTTCAAGGCCAGTGTTTGCTTCAGAGAAATGCTCCCTGGATTTGTTTATCCTTCCAGCTTGGTAACGTCCTTCCAGTAAGTAGCAACAGCAACAACAAAAGCAGAAAGAAGTGGTCAGAGAGCAGATACTTCCTGTTTATTTAGAATCAGTATATTTCTTTAGACATTTTAAGTCTTAGAGTTTGGTAATTTCTTTTACACAAATTGATTCACTCTATTACTTGTTTTCTGGAGCCTCTAGATCACTATTAATACCATTCCTCTTTTCTTATGTTTTGGATACTCAAAATAATTCACATATTGCCTATGTAGTTGTATCTAAGAAGAGATATCTGCTTTTAATACAATCTACACCTGCTGAAATTTCCTCCTCCACATAACTACTAGCTTGATTTAGGCATCTGGCTGAAGAGTGAACCGTTGGGTCTTTTTGATTCCCCAGTGGGCCTGCTTGACAGGGGCTGGACGCAGTGATCCGTAGGGTCCCTTCCAGCTCTGCAATTCTGAGATTATTAGAGGAGGAGGAATACAGTCCTCTATTTCATCTAGTCGCTTTACTGAGTGCTACACTCAATAACTGAACCTGGAGTGCTCACTGGAAGGACAGATCCTGAAGCTGAGGCTCCAGTACTTTGGCCATCTCATAAGAAGAGAAGACTCCCTGGAAAAGACCCTGAGGTTGGGAAAGTGTGAAGGCAAGAGGAGAAAGGGGACGACAGAGGACGAGATGGTGGGACAGTGTCATCGAAGCTACCAACATGAATTTGACCCAACTCCATGAGGCAGTGGAAGACAGGAGGGCCTGGCCTGCTCTGGTCCATGGGGTCACGAAGAGTCAGTCACGGCTTAACGACTAAACAACAGCAACAACAAAACACTCAATGTCAGTCTTTGTGTGTGTGTGTGTTTTTGAAATAAAGTTTGGGACATCCCTAAAGGCTTCTGGAAATTTACCTTTCTTTTTGTGTTTCTTGAACCTCTTCTTTCAGTGAAACAAACTCCAAAAACTCTGTAAAGCCCCCCAGAACCTTGAACCATGTCCTGTCCTCAGTCTAGGGCATTCTATATGACAATAGTCTGGAGGGTGGAAAAGTGAGCTGTCCCTACCTGGAACTCTTGTGCATGCTATAGAAGAGAATTAACATGATTAAAACTTCCAGGAGTCTTTCCAGGGGACTTGTGGCCCCACATTTAGGGCTTATTTAAAGAAAGGAAGGATGTAGGAAAGATTAAAAGGGGGATTTGGGTAAGTGGGTGGGGAATAACATGTTTAAAGCATTTGGAAAGTGTATGGAAATTTAAGCAGGTTCAAAATGCTGCAGCCAGATTGTTAACTAGGGCTGGTTACAAGGATCACATAACCCACCTCCACTGGCTGCCAGTCCATTTCCAGGCACAATTCCAAGAGGTGGTCTTGACTTCTAAAGTCGTAAATGGCTTGAGTTCAGGCCTGCTCAAAAACTGCATCTCCCTATATAAGCCTGTCTGGGTTTTAGTATCATCCGTCTTTTGCTTGGTCCCACCACTGTCACAGATGCATTTGGTGGGAACATGGGAGAGGGCCTTCTCTGTTGCATACCACTCTGCTGGCAGAAAGTGAGGAGGAATTAAAGAACCTTGTAATGAGGGTGAAAGAGGAGAGTGCAAAAATTGGCCTGAAACTCAACATCAAAAAAACTAAGATAATGGCCACTGGTCCCATCACCTCCTGGCAAATAGAAGGGGAAAATATGGAGGCAGTGACAGATATTACTTTCTTTGGCTCCATGATCACTGCAGATGGAGACAGCAGCCACGAAATTAAAAGACGCCTTCTTCTGGGGAGGAAAGCGATGAGGCGAGGAAAGCCGCCTAGAGTGGTCCTAACCAACTAGATAGGCGGGATATAAATCGAATAAATAAATAAATAAATAGTAAATAAATAAATTTGGCTGCGTGAGAGAGTATTTCTATATGAATAGAGGTATTTTGGCTTAAACCCTAGAATGAAATGAAAGTAAAGCCCAGAATTATTCTTGGAGATGGCAAGAATGGCATTTTCCCCCACCTTTCTTTTCCTCTTTATTGTATTAAGATTTATACAGTGTTTTATTAGAAATGATTCAGCATTGTTTGTACATTGCTAAGGAATTTTTTTTATCTAAGTGGTTTGTAGATGTAGCAAAATTGATTAATATAATCCACATAAATAAGGTACAAAAATCAATATCATTAATATAGATTGGATTAATTATTGAATTATACTACCAAGGCTAGGCAGAAGGCAGATCGGAACCTACTGGGAAATAGTTGAAGAATTTGTCAAAGATGGGTTTCTGATTTTTTTTCAGTTGTCTAATAATCACAATGGCGCTCTCCTCTGAAGGTAACCTATAAGAAGCTTCAGTCTTTCTTAGAGATGGGCACAAACCACACTTCAGCAGTTCAGTCCAGTTCTGCGTCTGCACAGGTGTTCCACAGGTACCACACGCTTCCATCCCCCTTCTCCTCAGGATATAGCCCACTCAGACGAGGACATTGGACAGGGAAGCTGCTGCCAGTGAGTAAGTATTTGCCCAACGAGCTGGTAAAGGGAAGTGCTCTCTTGCCGATGAGTGGGTAGTTGCCTGAGGAGGTGGGGGAGATAAGTGTGTGGCATTTCCTAAACACCTGTGTGGGTGCTGTGATGAACTGGGCCGTAATGCTAAACCATGATTTGTGCCCATCTCTAAGAGGTTTTGTACTTGTATCTGGAGATCATCTGATGTACGGCTCAATAGATGAAGTTGGTTCAACTACCTCACCTGCAGTTTTGAATTTGGTACTGGCTTGTGGAGCTTGAGGTCATGGTAAAAACCAACATACGTTATGCAATCTTGATATCTACCCAGAATGTATGCCACTTCAGGGGATGATAGCAGAAATGCGGGAGAGAAAATGTGAAATGTATATTTATGGTGCTATGTAATGATTGTACTCTTATTTTTTTTTTTTTAACATTGTAGGATGGGCAGGCAGAGGAGCTTAAATCAACTTCTCTTGCTTTCTCAAATGTTTGGCAGGTGTGAAACTGGGGATCAAAACACTCCCTGCACTGCCTGTTCTCTGAGCTCCAGATGAAGCGGAGACTTTGCAGACAAGAGAACCTAAGGAGGGAGAGCAGCAGGAGGAGTTGGCATTTAGCCACAGAGCTTCAAGTCTTCCCATCCATAGGTGGCCAAGCACCATCATTTTAAAGGTCGATCTCCTTTTCCTGCCTTTAGACACAAAGGTATGCTTCTTTTTGCCATAGGGATAGAGGTGACTTTTGCCTATATGATCTATGCATTGCTTGGACACCTGTATTCCATCTGGTACTTAATCCTCTGCACTTCTATATTCCTTGTAATCTTTCCTCCTGCAGGCTTTTCTTTGTACCACTTTCTTTTTCACCACCCCGGACGAGCCACTAGTGCTGTGGCCTTTTCGGTGTGTTCCGACTTCTTTTGATATAACCAGTGATTTCAGGCTGCTCTCCAGTTTATAGCTCTAGCCATTTCAGGACAAAACATCAAACAGACACAATGAGAGGAGAAGCTCCATTGATTGTGTGACCTGCCTCCATTTGAGTTCCTTGAACAAGCTGTCTCAAAGTCTGGCCACTGCAACGATGCTCTTCTTAACATGCCATCTGCTCATTTTGGCTGAACTAGTCGCACTTATCCATGCCTTAACAACAGGATTAGTTTTTTTTTTTTTTTGAGAAAGAAAGTGATGAGTAGACGGTAGAAAAGAATGGAGGTTATCTCACCAATATGTGCATGCAAATGATGCCGGGTGTAATCCTCAAAACACTAGAAGCTACTTTCCATTATTGGAGAGTCTATATGGTAGAAATGGGACGTGGTGGCGCTGTGGGCTAAACCGCAGAAGCCTGTGCTGAAGGGTCAGAAGACCAGCAGTCGTAAGATTGAATCCATGCAACGGAGTGAGCTCCCGTCGCTTTGTCCCAGCTCCCCGCCAACCTAGCAGTTTGAAAGCGTGCAAATGCGAGTAGATAAATAGGTACAACCTCGGTGGGAAGGTACAGTGGTGTTCCCTAGTCATGCTGGCCACGTGACAACGGAAACTGTCTTTGGACAAGCGCTGGCTCTACGGCTTGAAAACGGGATGAGCACTGCCCCCTAGAGTCGAACACAACAGGACTGCAAATGTCAAGGGGAACCTTTACCTTTTACCTATATGGTAGAAAGTGCTGACCTAGGTGGAGCAGTGTGAACTAACTCACTATAAGACACCTTCCTGCATTCCTATGAATATAGCTACTTCTAGAGCTTGAACTGTGTGCTTCCACAACAACAGTGTTAATAATTCAGGGAGTGACTAGGGACTTTACCTAGATTAAGGCAGCACTCACAACAAATTCAGATTGCAAGGGAGTTGACTTGCAAACAAAGCAGTTTACATTCCCCAGTCCCTTCTGTGATCTTAACTAGAATTCCAGATTGGCTTGATTTATTGCAGGCTACTCCATCAATCAAATTATATTTATGGTACAGCAAGAAAATTGCCTAACAATATATATTAAGCTACAGCATTCCAGATTGCATAGCAAACTGGCATACTCGAAAGAAGAATGAAGGTTGTTGGATGTCTAAAAGCTAGAGAATTAGGTTTTCCATATTGTTTTTGTATCTTAAGCATCTAATATTTGTTTCTGCATTATGTGAAATCCATGGTTCAAAGGGATAAAGAGAAACCAATCTGTGTGGAATGGAGGTCTGGTTGACCCAAGTTATTTTGCTTCTGGAGGCAAAAAAAAACCCAACATAAAAAAATGAAAAATAAAAAAAATGGCACTCACTTCTCCATGCCACAGGCAGAAGTTGATTTGACTGCCAGTTACATTTTACTTCACTACTTGTAATTGGATAACGTTCTCTACTAAGGATGAGATTTTGAGATTTTCTAGACTACAAATAGCCATAATTCTCCATTCTAGGAGTTCTGCCCACATTGCAGACACTTTACAAACACATAAATGTGATGTACGTACCTGGAAATGACCAAAATTAAAAGGCTTTGAGGCTTAGAGAGGTTTGCTTAGGTATTCTGTTCTTGCCCCTGTGCTAGCTGGGAGCTTTCTGTCTGAGAAAGAAATTTGGGCAGAGATTGGGTCCACTGCTCCTCCAAGCCTTCTAATTTGGCCTTTCTCCCAAGTGCATCACATTTATGTGTTTGTGTTTGCAAAGCAGGTGGGACTCCAGAATGGAGAAATGTGGTATTTGTGGTATAGTCCACAAAATCTGAAAATCCCACCCCTCTTCATTACTGTCCTGTCTTGGGGGGGGGGGGGAATGTTCAGGGGATTCAGGAGGAACATCCAGAGAATTATCATAGCTGGGCCACAGCATTTCTTTCTTGGGTCCGTGGGGGGGGGGGATGTTCAGGGGGTTCAGGAGGAACATACAGAGAATTAGCATAGCTGGGCCACAGCATTTCCTTCTTGGGTCCATTGTTTCTTTGTACCAGAAGCCAAAATCATCATTTTATATGCCCAGTGTCAATCTTGCTTCACAAGTAAAGTAACAAGAAGAAGGAAGCTGGTTTATAGTTGGGTAGTTGGGTGGTCATCATAACCTGAGACTCCATTCACCTCCACCTCCAGGTGGAAGATCTATTCTCTTCCTGACTGAGGTCATAGGTCGTTTTCCATCTCAATTCATGTTTCCAGTGGAATCCCCCCCCTTTCCCTGAAAGCAAAGGGAGCCACGTCGGAAGTGAGAAAAAGCTATTTTTCTAGTGAGAAATGGAGATGGAGATGAAATAAATCAATAAACAAAAACAGCTTCCAGATGCATTAATGATGTAATTTGCATGAATGCCCTAAGGTTATAGTGCTAGTATATTCCACTACCGCAACTTTTGCACACTGAAAACTGAATCATTAACAAGAGGAACTATGTGACTTGGATTTGGGTTTAAAAGAAGGAAGCGAGAGAGAAAAGAACTAGGGAAGAAAGTGGAATTTGGGATTAAATAAGAGAAAGAGGAAGAAAACATTCATATTGCAAGGAAAAATAATGATTCTTCAATCAAAAAAACAAAGTTCTTTCATAGTCGTTAATGACTGAAGCAACAAATTGCAAGAGGTGAATTCTCTCCGAGCTCTGCTAAATTTCCTTCCCCTGCCAGCATTTCTGTTCCCTCCAGGAGAGGGTGCCATCGTCAGGGTCAGAAATATTTGATTAACCTATGTGTTGCTTCCCTATGGGTGTCAGGAGGTCAGCATGCAATTGTATCTCCATGGGGGGGAGGTAGTTTCCGAACTGCCCTGGTAACCTGTGAATGTATATTATTGTTCATGTACACTCTTATAATGCCTTGATTCCCAACTGGGGTGGTGGTGGTCAGTATTCAGGGTTAAGCAGCACTTGAAGTCCTCATTGGGTCCTGTATCAGGCAATATAGACCTGTAATCATAAAAGAGAATCTCTAAGAATGCACAACATCTAAGAACTCTCTTGGCTTTCAATGTGCTAAAGCTCCCCTCCTTAATTATTAAAATGAAATGACAGAGTCGGAAGGGGTAGTCCGTTTCAGTATTTTGATAACATGATGATAAGACCGCTTCTCAATGGAGGATGTAGAAAGAGAGGAGACTTCAAAGGGCCATTTAGATCAGCGATAGAGATGGACAAGAACCCCCAGTTCGGCTAGTGGCTGAACAGGTGTCTGACACTTCCTATCCCAGCGTCCCCTCTGACCGGTGTCCACTCAGAGGAAGCACCTTGGCTTCCCCGCCCTGCTTCCTTTGGGCACTGCTTCTGATTGGACGCCCTTTGCAGGAGGTGGGGCTAGGAAGTGCTGAACCACTAAACGAATCAACACAAACTGCGAACCGGTGTTTTATTTATTTAAATTTATACACACACTCACCCGCCCATTTAGTGAGCATGCCCCTACTGTGGGCGGCTTACAAAACTCTGGGCTGTTCATGCCCATCTCTAATTAGCAACCTATGAATTGAGTTTTCCTCTGCAAATATGTACTATTGATGTAATACTATCATACCACCACCCTGAGTTCAGCATATGGCAACCATTGTTTTACCTTTTCAGCATCTGGAGAAGCATTGCTTATAAGATCATGCATAGATTTTTGAAAGTGTATGATTAGCAGCTGTGAAACCCCATGTGCTCAGAGACAGTTACTTCAGAAATCATTTGTAGTCAGAAGTGTACTAGGCAAATTGTAATGGCATGCTATTGTCTGCTAAAAATAGTTTCCTGGGCTGGGGTGGGTTCCCCCCCCTCCATTGTGGATCTGCGACAAGCTAGAGGCAAGGTAAGAGAGGCTTGCTTGTGCATCACTTTGAAATGGAATAGCCTAGTTTTATATTACTGCTTGACTGAAGAACTGTGTGTCACTTGAAATGCTGCCTATTTCTGCATCAACAGATGCTGGCCCCATTAGTAAGACTGCTTTTCCTGTAGTCAATGTGTAGGCTAAAAGGGGGGGAGCGGGATGCATGGCTGATACCCAGAGGACTGTCAGGGGTTGCGGATGATCAGCTTGCACATGGATGCGAAACACCACTGCAAGGAACTGAGCCATATGTGAGCAAGGGAATAATGGTACACAGGCACAGGAAAGTTACTGCATGTGGAAGTTCTTGTGGGTGCAGACAAGATTTCTGTTTAAGGCTTTAAGGGGTCCTGTCCCCCCTCCCCACTGTAAAAGCTCTTGAAATGGTATAATGATAGAACAAGCAGGGTAAATATTTTGATATTATTGACCACAAATTGTTCAGTCCTTTGATGGATGGTCCGAGGTAGGAGTAAAAAGAATACTAGCTATATTTGATTTGACCTCTCTCAGCACAATGGGATGCCTCACAAAGAATACTGAATGTTTGTGAAAGTTCTCAGCCAAGTGAGAGTGGGACAAAAAAGTTCTTCTCTGCACTAATGTCCTTGCAATTCTCTGTAAGTAACTCACCCCTTGCAGTTGTCCTACGTAGTTTTGGATTCTTCTCTGCACTAATGTCCTTGCAATTCATGCAACATGTCTGTAAATAGCTCACCCCTTGCAGTTGTCCTAGTTTTGGGCAATTTGTGCAAAACAAACAAAGCAAAAACTTGTGCCCAAAATGGGTGGCTTTGAACAAACATTGCTCTTGTCAAAGTAAGAACTCTGATGAGTGTGCTAGAAATATGTTTTTTTGTCATCCTTGCATTTCCTGCAAGAAGGGAGGTGTTGCAGTACGGATTCTGCCTGTTTTGCTATTAC